AAATAGTTTTGATCTTTACCAGTACACCTCTGACACCAAAAGTACCTATAGTAAGAAAGCCAAATGTTAGTACAGGCAGAGAGACACTCCCCAAATTCTGAGGATAAAAATATATAATCAATACACAAAGCTTAGCTTGGATATTAATATATACAGAAAATAGCATAATAAAAACAATGTTTCTTAAGCCAGGAGGAAGAAAGTCAGAATTTTTAAGGTAAAAAAACACCACATAATAGGAATGGTCATAGCAAAAATAGTTGGCAGCAGCCTCCTAGTACCACCTGAAATAACAGTGTGATGGAGGCCCTCCTGGCCACAGAGGACTTTTTTGTATTTTTTTCTTTTATGGAGGGAAACATCACTGGCTTTTAGAATCTAATGACATCAAACACTTGAATCATAAAACCTAATACCATGGCCACCAAGCCACTTTTAGTCATACTTAGTTGGTGGCAGTATAAACCTGTATAAACCTTTCAGAAAAAGAACTGTGTTAATGTATTTCCAGAGCCTTGCAAAGGACCATTCAGTAAGGGAATTCATTCTTAATTGATTACAGGCAATTCAGTCTTTCAGTTTGGGTTTTGCAAAAAAATCAAACCAAATAGTAATAGTAGCAATTACCACCACCACTACCTAGACAGGTTAAAATACAAAATATTAATAATTCCACTTCAATAGAGATGATAGATCTCTGCACACACCCGTATACATACATTACAAAAAAAGGCTGGAGGCCAGGCGCGGTAACTCACGCCTGTAATCCTAGCACTCTGGGAGGCCAAGGCGGGCGGATCGCTCGAGGTCAGGAGTTGGAAACCAACCTGAGCAAAGCGAGACCCGTCTCTACTATAAATAGAAAGAAATAATTGGCCAACTAATATATATAGAGAAAAATTAGCCGGGCATGGTGGTGCATGTCTGTAGTCCCAACTACTCGGGAGGCTGAGGCAGGAGGATCACTTGAGCCCAGGAGTTTGAGGTTGCTGTGAGCTAGGCTGATACCATGGCACTCACTCTAGCCTGGGCAACAAAGTGAGTCTCTGTCTCAAAAAAAAAAAAAAGGCCGGAAGATCATATATGAAATAACAATGGTTGTCAGTAGTTAGTGTGATTTGAGTAATTTAAATTTTCCTTAAATTTAAATATTGATTCTATAGCAAATAGATTTGCTATAGAAATAGCAAATCTTGCTATAGAAATAACAAATCTAAAAATAGATTTGCTATACAATGAATATATTGTTACCTCTCTATAAAAAGGGACACATCGAGGAAAAAGCCACTTCAGAGTGTTTCTCTTTAAGCATATATTTTTAGGCTCCGTTTCATTTATGAAGTATCCTTAGTTTTCTACTTTTTTCATTCCTTTAAGAAGAGGTGTTGAATTTTATCATTCTTTCTATTGAGAAAATTATTTATGTAAATTATGGAATTATTTATGTAATTTACTAAGTCGATAGATTTCTTCAATATTGCATTGAATCTAATTTGGCTGTGGAGGATTTTTTTTTTTTTTTACATTCTTACTAAAACTATGGATATATTCAACTATGGACACTTTCAACCATATTTTCCTCCTAGGAATTTTAAATACAAGTATGTTTCTATGGATTACCACAATGGCCTGCTGAGACCTCTACCACACAGTACAAACCGGGAACCTGTTTTTTTCTCTCAGGGAAGTAAGTTCTTATCATGATCTCTAACTGAGATCAAGCCTCTGTCCTGCCTACCTACAGTTGTGACCCTTTTCTCTATATTCCCTCCAGCCACCTTACCTCTTGTAGCCATTCAAAAGGGAGGCAACTAAGACACTACCTATAAGTTTGAAAACATGTCTTCTCTGCAAGACTACTGTATACCAGTTGTGTAAGTACTTGCACAAATTACTTCTTAGTCTAAGCTTCTTCATGTGCAGGAAAAGAGTGAGACTGACACCATTTAGGTCAAATGGAGGTTTCTGTAAACATTTTGAGGGCTGGGACTCCATCTTCTTCACATTTACATTTCCACATTAAGACAGTGCCTGGCATGGAGTATGCACATGAATATCTGCTGAATGAGTAAGTGAATATCTGCTTTTCTTTCTTTCCTCTGTTCTAATAATTTGGTTCTTCCTCTTATTTCCTGCTGGTTCTCTACATCAAATGATTCTCTACATCAAAGATCTTATTTGTAGACATTAGGTGATACCAAAATCCCTTTGGACAAATCTATGAAGAAAATTTACATTGGGCTCAATACATTCAAATTTCCATTGCTCTGCTGCTGTTGGTAGCCAACCACTATCCTTCCTCTGGCAGGTTCTGACTGAAGTGTTTAATTATTTTTTTCATATTTCTTTCCACCTCCTAAATGGCTGCCAACAAGTTCTATAGACAGTAATCCACTTCCTCCACCATTCTTTCCCACTGTGGCCAAATTTCTTCCTTCATGTCTAGGAAATGTTCAGAGGAAATTTTGCCTTACATTTGCCTCACAAATCTGAGGTGAATTCTATTACATAACCTTCAACTGATTGAGACAATATCAAGAGGACATTTGGATTTCCTAAAATATTTATAAGAAATGGTGAAGAACAAGACTCAGATTATAACTTTCAACCTTCTCAAAAGCTTAGGCAGATCAAAAGATTTTTTATTTACACTCAGTGTAGAGATATTTAATATAACATGCTTTAATTCTCCAAATTACTGCCTAACAAACTAAACGTTGCCAAACAAGAATCACACTGCATCTCTACATTCCATCATTAAAATCTTGTTTAAGTATGTTGGGCTCCTGCTAAAAAAATAACATTTAGAGTAAAGTGTAACTTTTTTAAAGAGTAAAAGAAAATCATTGCAATTTTGGTAAATGGTTTCCAAAATCATGTATTTCAAATAAATCCCATTAAATCCAAAGAACAGAAAAAAATCAGAAAAAGCTCAGTATTTAATACATAATAATTGTTATTTAACTAGGTAAATATGAAACTTTTTAACTAAATAAATACAACTCCATAAACCTACTTTTCCAGTAATTCTTAGATTAAAATTTTGAATTCTACCTTAAAATGAACTTTATCAGTGTTCCGGCTGAAATCATATATTATGGCCTAATTGTATGTTCCACTTCTTTGCCTTTACTTGTACTATTAACACCTTTTGCCAAAGATATCTTCCTATTTTAATCTGAAAAACCGCTCAGCCTCCAAGATGCCTCAGTGTGCTTTTGGGGGAGAGAACCTTGTCAGAAGTCCTAAGTTTTAGTAATAGCTCAGACATTTATTAATTATGGAACCTTTAATATTCCATTTAATGCCCCTTGATTTTCTTAGCTATAAAACAAAGATATTATATTTAGCCAGGTGATTCCTATAGCAACAGATAACAGGGAAAGCTAAAGTTTTGGTCTATTAGGGTACAACCTGGAATACTGACCTTCACTTAACCCAAGATCATAGTAAAACTAAGTCAGGAATATATTCCAGAATGCAATGAGGTTGTTTTGCAACAGTTACTTTTGCCTGGTGAGGAGGCTGACTAATACCCAGTTTCCAGAACAATGAGGTTGAGGGAGTCACACAGCAGGTATAAAGACTTTTATGAGGATGGCAAAATGGAACTTCTCATGCTTAATGGAATCACCAGTCTATTTAGTAGCATAGTCATCAGAAGGCACAAACATCCCTGTGGGGAAACTAGAGAAACCTGGAAAGCCCAAACCTCCATCTAGAATCAGGGGGGACAATCTTTTATTTTCTGTCTCCAATCAGATGAGTTTCTACATCCTTTGACATTAAAGAAATAAAATATCATCTCTATTGGCATTTTTTGCTTTCTATGATTTAAACACAACCTTCACCTTCTTCACCCTTGATTCTTTCAACTAGACTTTCTCAATCCTTTGAACCTTATAGACGTAGTTCCTTTAATAAGTACTTATAAATAGAGGAATCGTTATTTATCTGTGTATTTCCTTCCCTAATTCCCCATTTCTACTTTAGAGAGCCTAATATCTGGGATGAGAGAGATCATCAAAGTTTTGTTGAATAAATTAATTTATACCATTGTACCTTATACAGAGCACACAAAAAAAATAATGACTTGTTAGATGAATAGAACCAAATTAACTATTTTAATAAACCTTAAAGGCCTATAGCCAAGTTTTACAAATTAGATTGTTCACTGCATTACCCACTATACCTCCCTGTTCATTTGTGTTACTAGGAATCTACTTCTAAATACAAAGCAAAAAAAGAGTCAAGGCCGGCTTATTAGGCATTTTCTTAATAAGAAATGTCTATTACCTGGCCCCATACAATAGGATAATGTTGGCTGATGACCATTTGATGATTCTCTGGCTTGGGCACATCCTGAACAAAGTTCAGATTAAAAGATCGTGAAGGTATTTTTAGCACAAAATATGTTTTTGAGATATAACATTTTTGAAAAACAACAAACAAGCATGGAATACAAGGTTATTTTCTACTGTTTAGAAGAAACCATTCCCTAGTTCTGCCTAAATCAAAGCCTTTACTATCTATGTCTTTATGAATTTATATTTCCTAATATCCTCAACATTTGAGTAATTGTAATAATAAAACATATTTGAAAAGTTTCCCAAAGAAAGGGAATATGCTACGTCATATATTTTCAAAGTATCATATGCTGCTAAAGTGGGGTGACTGGATACTGGACTTCTGCTTCCTTTTAGACAGGTGGAAATATTCTCTCATAAATACATGCAATGAGAGAAGAGTAGACACTCAAAATGAGCTACAGTGTGCAGAATGGAAAAGCTATTAAATGCACATTCGCTTATATAAGACACACAAGAAAAGCTTTAGAAAGCACATAAATACCTAAGAGACAAGCAAAAAACAACTTACCTAAGTAAAAAATTAATAGCCATGACAGATTCAAAATTATTAGAGATTAGAGGAAAAAGCATGGAATACAACATCAAAATAGCAAAAGACAGGAGAGGAGGTTAAGAACACATATTACTCACAGGAATTCTTCTCCAGGGTGTTTGGGTATATTTATCAGCATATGTGCGTTTTTCCTCTTTAGATTTTTGGTGGCTGTTATACTGAGTTGCCTAAACAAAAACACAAATTTTTACATTGATTTAATTCTGGACACATACAACAACAAGATAATTAGGGGCTCTCATAGGGAGTACAAAACCAAATTAACAAACAAGCCATACATTGCAAAATAGTTCTGGCTGCTCTTTTGAAGAAAAAAGTGACTACAGTAAACATAAAAGTCTTTTCAGTAGTCTCTCATCCTAGTCAGGGATTGGGTTCGAGAATCATCCAGTTAAGGCTAGAATTTTAAATAGCCCAAATTACTCTTGGCAATCTTTTATGTTGTTGGTAAAAAGCACTGTATATGATTTTATGTATATCAATACATACAGTATTAAATATATGGATATAGAATATATAGAGTGATAGAAAGTGCTAGACACGGTAGCTCACGCCTGTAATCCTAGAACTTTGTGTGGCTGAGGCAGGAGGATCACTTGAGGCCAGGAGTTTAAGACCAGCCTGGGCAACATAGTGAGACCATGTTATCTACAAAAAATGAAAAAGTCAGCCTGGCATGGTGGCATGTGCCTGTAGTCCTAGCTACTTAAGAGGCCTAGGTATAAGGATTGCTTGAGCTCAGGAGTTTGAGGTTACAGTGAGCTATGAACACACCACTGCACTCCAGCCTGGGAGACAGAGCAAGACCCAAGAGAGACAGAGAACACAACTGCAAAATTTATAGTATTTCCCTAATTTATATGGTACTGCATAGCTTTGTTTGTTTGTCATATCTTGCTTCTTAAAATCATATTGCCAGTGTTTTCAGTAATGATTCAATATTTTGTGAAAAAATGATTTCATTTGCTTTGGTATATTTCAACATAGTTGTATCAAAATTTGTTTAAGCATCTTCCTATTACTGCATTTTTCATGAATTATAATTTTTCATTATATAGTATATACTATGATTAGCATCTTTGAATATTCATCCGGATTTCTGAATATTTTCTTAAGACTGGTTCTCCAAAGTGGAATTACTAGGCAAAGGGTATGATTAGAAATGTTACTTTGATAACAAGATACTACAAGTAAGCCAACTCTGTCTCTTTGCCAAATTATCCTCAGTACATTTGGGGCTACTGTCAATGTGAACTCACTTTGAGTTCTGAGTTTCAGGAGCCTGATAATTGCAAATAAAGTGCATCTGTCTCATTTGCTTCTCCATCACTTCAGGAAAGATTTTTTGCTGAATAGGCAGGTACAGACATCTCTTCACTTGAAGGCAGTGGTTCTCAACCGTGGTTGCACGTTAGCACCACCTGGACTACAGCCTCAAAACAGTTTAATATGAATTCCTAAGGGAAGACATAGTGTCTTTTTCTTTTTTTTTAATTTCCCAGCTAATTCCAATGTTTGGTCAGGCTTAAGAACAACTGCTTTGGTAAAAGAAAGTTTGGTCAGTTTGTAGTAGCCAAATAAATTTTAATTGTTAATGTCTTGAGTACTTTTGACCTTTGCCTTCTTAGAAGTTGGATTTGTTTCTGATGATGATTATACTTCAAGATTAGGGCTGATGAATAAAATATAGGAAGCTCAGTTAAATTTGAATTTCAGGTAAATAACAAATAATTTTTTCAGAGAAAGAATGTCCCAAATATTACATGGGATATGCATATATTAAAAATTATTGTTTATCTGAAATTCAGATTTAACTGGGTGTCCTGTATTTTTATTTGCTAAATCTGGCCACCCTTGTCATGGTTATACTTGAAGATACATCTGATTTTCTGTAGCACTTATTCCCCTCCTATTGCTGAGAATTGGTACTGGTACTTCCTATTTTATGAAGAGGTTTCTGTGTATAGTAGGTTTAGCCTCAGATTCTTTCTGTCCAGTTCAGAAAGTTACATTCTTCAACCTTCTGATATAAGTCCACAAAAAAACTTTCAAGACACTACATAAGGTCCTTGTGAGCTTCCTGGCCCATCCTTAAGTGTGTTCTTACTTAGAATAGAAGGTTCCTAATGACCATAAAGTATGTAACAGCCTCTTTTAAAATTTACTTTTTATTTTTTTAGAGACAGGGTATCTTCCATCACCCAGGCTGGACTATAGTCATGTGATCATAATTCTCACTGCAACCTTGAACTCCTGGGCCTCAGCAAACCTCCTGCTTCAGCCTCCCAAGTAGCTGAGACTATAGGCACGTACCACCACACCTGGCTCATTGTTTTTTAAATTTTTTGTAAAGATAAGGTCTTGCTATGTTGCCCAGGTTGACCACAAACTGGTGGCTTCAAGCAATCCTCCTGCCTAGGCTTCCCAAAGTGCTGGGATTACAGGTGTAAGCCACCACACCCAGCTTCTAGCACAGTTTTTAAAATGCATTTTTGATAAGACTCTACTGGACAGTAAATACCACCAGTCTACATGACAAGTTGTCTGTTCACATGTATGGTGCTAGGAAGCCTCTTTCATGATGTGCTGACTTTATTACACTGAACTATTTTGAAGGGTCTCTGCCCTTAAAAAGACAAGATCCCTATAACCATCTCAGTTCACAAATGAATTCTGTACAAATGATCCTACCCAAAACGCAATCATTTATACAACACAAAAAATATACTTGTATAAACTCTGGTCTCTCAAACAATCACCGATTCAAAAAAAGGAATGAAAAGACTGATAAAGAGAATTCTGCCTTAGTGTGAAGCTGGAAAATAACCATGTTACTTGTTAACCCATCTGGAGATAAATATACTTTCTTGAAGGAAAACCTAAAAAATTATTGATTGTTGACAAGTTAACATGGTAAGTTTCTATTTTGAAAATGTTTACCAATTATCAAATTTTTTCTTAATTGCAATTAGATCATTCCAATTTTCATATACAAAATAAAATCTACTTAAAAACAAAAATTTCTATAGTACAGACATATTTCTCATTCCTAAGAAATAGGATAGTTACTGAAACTAAAAATTCAATGTATAAACAAATCAATGTAAAGCCTCTTGCACTTCAGTATAATAGGACTTAACTTTTCACATATATTGGAGATATATAAAGAAGAGAAAATAAAAAAACACTTCTCATAACCCGAGCACATTACCATTCTATCCTGACCAGGATAGCAAGTCCAGAAATACAGGTGTTCCTCTATTTCATGTATTTCATTTCTCAATTTATGATCCATCATAATATCATTACAAACACATTTTCAATTTATAATATTTTCAATTTATGATGGCTTTATTGGGACACAGCCTCATTGTAAACAGAGGAGTACACTGAATGCATATAGCTTTTGCACCATCATACAATTGAAAAATCCTAAACAGAGGGACTGACTGTAATTTTCTTTCTGTGGTCAATATGTTAATACATACTGAAAAATAATATTTGGAAAATACATGAATTTCCATAATTTGGAAAATCTAATTTTTAATAACACTTCAAGATATATAAAATGATTACCATCTTTCTTTTTTTGTTAGAGATAGGGTCTCACTCTGTTGCCCAGGCTGGAGGTGCAGTGGCACAATCACAGCTTACTGTAACCTTGAACTCCTAGGCTCAAGTGATCCTCATACCTCAGCCTCCCGTGGCCGAGACTATAGCAGCACACCCAGCTGAGTTTTTAATTTTTATTTTTGTAGAGACAGGATCTCACCATGTTGCTCAGGCTGGTCTCCATCTCCTGGCCTCAAGTGATCCTCCTCCCTCAGTCTGCCAAGTGCTAAGATTACAGCTGTGAGCCACCAGGCTTGGCTCATCTCCTTTCTTTATTGCTGACAGACTGTATTCAGATGCTCCACATATTTAGGGAAAGGTGTCCTAATCTTCTACTCCAAGGAGATAGATCTTGATTAGTCTAAATCAATCTGGTTAATCCTAGTGCACCTACGCTTAGTAAGGGACAAGTGACCTAAATCTAGCCAATAAAACACAAAGGAAAGCCTAGGGTCCTTCTAAGAAAGTGTTCCTTAATTTTGAAAACAGGCACTACAAGTAATAGGCCCTTTACTCACCCTTGGGTATTGCCGTGTGAGAATGTGACGCATAGAGCTACGGCAAACATCTATGATCATGAAGGGACAAGCCAAGAGGATTCAAAAAAAGTCAACCAAGAACTTCATCATTAACCAAATGACCAATAAGTAACCATGGAAATGGATAGGACCTATACACTTTCTTGTTATTTGAGTTTATAACTGTTCTTATTTATTTATTTATTTATTTATTCTTTTGGAAACAGAGTCTCACTGTGTTGCCCAGGCTAGAGTGTCGTGGCGTCAGCCTAGCTCACACCCAGGAGAAACCTCAAACTCCTGGGCTCAAGCAATCCTTCTGCCTCAGCTTCCCAAGTAGCTGGGACTACAGACATACACCACCATGCCCGGCTAATTTTTTTCTATATATTTTTAGTTGTCAGGCTAATTTCTTTGTATTTTTAGTAGAGACAGAGTCTCGCTCTTGCTCAGGCTGGCCTCAAACTCCTGACCTCGAGTGATCTTCCTGTCTTGGTCTCGCAGAGTGCTAGGATTACAGGTGTGAGCCACCGTGCCCAGCAATAACAGTTCTTATGTCTTAAGTCACTTTTAAGTTAGGGACTTTTACTTGAAACTTAAAACATCATAAGATATACATTGATTTACAGCAAGTAATTAAATAAGAATTACTATTTATCATACAGTCAAGGTCCTGGAATTAGGTAGTTTACATTTGTAGTTAATTTATTAACACTATTGCAACTCTATATGGTCAGTATTATTTTTATTATTTCCACTTATAGAAGAGGATTAGGAGAGATTACAAAACTTCCCTTAGAGAATATGGCTATTAAATTTTAAGTCAGGATTTGAACCTGGATGTGTCACAATTTTCAAATATACTTCACTGATGGCCCACTTAACCTGAGTTCCATTTTCTATGTCTCCATAAAGAAAATTCTACACTAGTAATTTCATAAGATTATTCTGAGGATTCAATAAGCAAATGTATCAAAATTAACTATTATTTAACTAGTATACTGAGATGAAAATAAACAGGCATTCTTAGCATTTTGGAATAAGGTTTGAATAGTCAAACCTCTTTACCTTTCAGCTAAATTCTTAGAGCACTGTAATCTGATTGTTTTTTGGTTTTGGTTTTTTTTTTTTTTTTGAGACAGCGTCTCACTCTGTAGCCTGGGCTAGAGTGCTGTGGCGTCAGCCTGGCTCACAGCAACCTCAAACTCCTGGGCTGAAGCAATCCTTCTGCCTCAGCCTACCGAGTAGCTGGGACTACAGGCATGCGCCACCATGCCCGGCTAATTTTTCCTATATATTTTTAGTTGGCCAATTAACTTCTTTATATTTTTAGTAGAGACAGGGTCTCTCTTGCTCAGGCTGGTCTCGAACTCCTAAGCTTAAACGATCCTCCGGCCTCGGCCTCCTAGTGTGCTAGGATTACAGGCGTGAGCCACCACGCCTGGCCTGTAATCTGATTTTATATGAACACATTTCACATATAAAATATGAATTTAACACTTTATAGTGTCATTTTATTTTTATGAAAAATCTGCATGCAAACATAGGTTAGAGGTAAATGTATTTTTTAATTTTTAATTTTAATAAGATTTTTTAAATCTTTTTTAAAAAAAAATAAATGGTTAGAAATGAAAAAGAACTTTCAAATCACCTAGAAAAATATCCACATTTTAGATAAAGAAAGCCCTACAGAGATGTGACAGCCAATGTCATTCAGCTATTAATACCAGAGACAAGAACCTAATTCCTTGTGTATGAACTTCTTCTGACAACTTTTTCTAATTTTAAGAAAGTAGTTTAAAGATGTAAAGAAAGAAAAAAATTAAAAATTCAATTATAGAAAGGCAAATTTAATTTTGATAAATGTGAAAAATGCTGTTACTCATCTCTACTTTCAGTGGTTTATATCCTTTTTAAATTCTCTTGATTTGAACAAGTGACTTTCTAGAGTTCCATAACTAAACTTTATACTATTAAAATCTTCCTGAATGACTCCTAATTTCCTACTACAAAAAGAACACATGGCCCCATAAAACTCATTTAATAAGACATCTACTTCCCAGAGGTTCGCTGTTCGCAGTGACAAGCAGTGAATTTTCTCTAATCTTCTAAATTTATGTTGAGAAAACCATAGTAAACGTTAGTCTCTAGATTCAAAAACAGGAACTTTCAAGTAAGTTTCACAAAGTTCTCTTGGTACGGGCTGCAATTCCCCTGCAATCTGTAAATGGACTAATATTATTCCAATGTGTTTACAGAGGGAATTTCTAGCTGAATGTACTACAGCTTCACGAACAATCTGTAGGATAACTAAGCACAGCACATAGAAAAACAGGTGACAGGCTCCTATACGATAATTATGATTTCTAGGTTAAATATACCAAATACAGAGAATTTTAAGGCATATATTGCTAAAGATTAATGGTTTCAATTTTCTTGTTTTCTTTCTTTAGGGTTCTCTTTGATATTTCTTAAATCTTTCTAAAAATTATTTTCAAGGTGAGAGATTGTTCAGGACAACCAGCTCATTCTCGCCAATAAGTTAAAAGAGACTAAAGGGACATAACCATTTGTCATGCACGATCCTAGATTGGATTCTAGTTTACACAAAACAAACATACAGGATGTTTTGGGAACAACTGGGGAGATCTGAATATGGACAAGATATTAGAATATATTAAGAAATTACTATTGATTGCTTAAAGATGATAATATTATTTCATCTATGAAGAGACCTGTTTTTATTTTTTAAAGATGCACGTGGAGGTTAAAAGAACACCTTGTTAAAACTTTCCAGCACAAAAAGATTCATTTTTAATTACTTAATCACGTATCAATATAAAGTGATCTCTTGTCATAATTCTTTCAGCCTTAAATTTACTTTTCTAATTTTAATAATGAAACCCCAGTATTTTTTATGAGAATAATTTTATTCTGTGTTCTCCAACCTTTTATGTTCAGCCCTATTAGGTCATTTTACTTCAGCTAAATTTCTTTTATACAAGGCAAGTTACTGGATTTTGCTTTAAACCCTCAAGAAAACTCTCCCCAAAGACATAGGACAATTTAAAACTCCTATTATATCTGCTACATTTGGTTTAACTTCTGTTACCTTAGTTTTGCTGTTTTTAGGTTTTCCTTGGTATTTTTCTACGTTGTCTTTATTTACTTTTATTTGTTGCAAGATACATTGTTACAACCTATTAATAGTTATCTTAAAGTATTTCAGTGTCATAATTTATCTAAGTATATTAAAGAATAACTTAGGATATTGATTTATAGAAGATAAAAAATTCAGTACTTCTGACTTCCTTCACTAGATTCCTATATTGTTCCTCAAACTTATTTAATTCAATCTAAATATTTTCCAAAACTAATAGTGACTTAAAATTTTTAATTAAAATTTTTTAATTTCAGAAAAATTAAAGATTTATAAATTCAAATAAATTCTACCATTTGAATAACATAATTTATATCAGATAAAATAATGAACAGTAAGTTTTCTCCAAATAATGGTCTGCTTGATTATCCCACTTAGTTTCTCTAAAGATCATTTCCATTTCACCACTCATTCATTTTAATCTTTACTTCCTTATTCTTAAGTCATTTCTTAATTTCTCTCTCAAGTATTTCAAATGCATTGTTAACTGGATGGCATATTTTTCAAGACATTAGATACATTGCCTTTGTATGTAAATAAAAATTTGTGTAGATATAAAATATGAGGTTCATAACCTCTAAAGTGCACAAGGCACAGTCTCTTCTGCTCTGAGAGCTCTATAGCTACCAAAGACTGAACACCCAGTCTCATTCTGCTCACAGAGAGAGGAAATATCCTGTTTTCAACTCACCAGTACTCATTTCTTAACATGTCTCTGAAGGAAAGCCATTTACCCTACATCAATAAAATGAATGTAAATTAGTGGATTTTCAATACCCCAACAAAGGCCACTGAAAATGGATCAACAAAGAATTATTTACACTGAACGTTAAATCACATACTTTTAATAAAATGTATAAAGTGTAAAAATACAAAAGTACAACTTTGAAAGCCAAAAATAAAGTCTAACTCTAATTTCAGCTCAGAGTTTTATTAAAAATATATATTGTCTGCTTTGAAAAGCATCCATTTGACATATTATACAATACTCACAAGCTGATGTTCTAATAGTTGGATCTTTTCATCTTTCTTCTTTATTTCTTCTTTAAGTTGTTTTATCTCATTTAACAAATCTTCATTCTAAAATGTTAAAAAAGTTTAAGATGAAGTATTTAAAATATCATAGTAAGAAGCATTAAATCAATGATGAAGACTCAGGAATGAATGGACGATTCATTAATTTAGGGGGGAAAATCCACTATTAAAAAAAATCTAAGACTTCTTCTAATGGAGTCTGACATGTAGAAAATGAACAATAACAAGGATAACAGCTAACATTCATTGAGTACTTATAAGATATCAGAAACTAAGCATTTTCAGGTATTTACGCATTTGATCTTGACCACAAGTCAAGTATCAATACTTGACCTGAGGCAAGTATTCTTATTCCTTTTTTTACATCTAAAGAAAGAAACTGGGACATAGGCCATTAGAGTAAAATAAATCACACACAAAACATTAACTTTAGCTAGATTTCAAGAGATGCGTGTAAGAGCTGGCTGTCAGAAAAACCACAGGGCACAACAAGCAACGGGAATTATATAATTTAAGGCATAGAGGCATTTTATAGCTGATTCATAAATCAGCAAAAAGATAAATGTACCTTCAAGGGTAACTAGGGAAATTCTTTTCCCATGAGTCACTTTTTGAGGAGCATTGCCTGAATCAAAAAGAGAATACCTTTTTGATTCAACTTCATTATGAAAAATGCCTAATACTATTACATGGAATCCAACTGTCAAGTTAAACAGGAATCGAGTTACATACCTACCCAAAGTGTTAAGTATTATTACCTTATAGTTAGTCCATTTTGTGCACCACTATTCAACTATCCAGAAATATATACTAAGTAGTATAAGCAAGGAAATTAAATATGTGAATGATATATCTACCTATTCTCTCCAGAGAGAAAAATATGCAAGCAATGATTATAATGTGTAACAACACATTACAATGTGTTGTTAAAAGTATGTCATCTCCTTCAGATACACTGGGCACAAAAAATATATATACTGCAGTTTCACAAGAGATCAGAAATAGACATTTTACAAAGGCTTTAATCACATCACATAAGCATCCCAACCAATAAGGAAGAAAAGATTTTTAAAGTGCTGTTATGTATTCTATAATTGGGAAAGACATTATTACATATAAAAATGATTTCCAGTCAAATTTTAAAAGTTTAGAAATTTAAAACATGCATTAATCAAGACAAAAAGATGGACTGCAGATCATGAAAGATACATTTCTAAGGATACATTTAGAAGGACACATTTCTAAGCTATGCAGCAAGTGAAGCTATTAAGAAATAAAAACATAGATTTGATTACATAAAATTTTAAACCATCTTAACAATTAACATTAAAGTTAAATGCTGGTGAAAATCTGTGCAAATATGACAAAGGACTTGTATCTCAAGTATACTAAGAGCCTATCGAAACATATAAGACCATTTTCAAGGCCCCAAAAGACAAATAGCCAGTTCTCACAAACATACATATAAAATGGGTTAAATGTTCTATTTGACTTGTTAAAGAAATATAAGTTAAAATATCAAAGATATTGCTTTATAGATATTAAATGGGGGAGAAACACTCAATGTGATTAACAAGATTACAGAAAAAAAAAAAGGGTACATCATCAGACACAGCCATTAACCTTTCTGGACAAACATATGTATAGGAGTCATAAAATCAGCATTCTCTGATTCAGCTATCATATGCCAAAAAAACGATCCTATAAGAGATGAGTATGAGAAAGTATGAGAAAACCTATAACAAGGTATCATCTGAAAGTTACAAGTTTACAATTGTCCTAGAAGGGGACAATTGAAATACATGTAGCAACTTGATGGAATACTATTAGATAGACATCAAAATACAATGTGGTAAGAACAATAACAGCCAACATGTATACAGTACTTATTATATGTCAAGCACTTCTCTAAGGATTTTATACATAAAGATAGGCAAAGGAGAATACACCAGGAAGTGAGTGACTCCCACGGAGTCTTAAAGGATGATCAGAAGACAGAGAAGTATAGTAGGCTTTCAATTTCAGGTCAAGGGATTATAAGTGTCATACAACAATACAGATGGGAGTACAAACATAGCACATTTGGAGAATTATAAGCAGTGATGCTGAGAACAAAGGCTGTGGTGAACAGTGAGGAGCAATTGGGCTATTAAACTAGCTAAGAGCCAGATCACAGAGGGCCATGATTATCAAACATGGTCTTAGCTAAGCATTGACATATTTGCATTTGGAATCACTTTGGTAGCCTATTTGGAGGACAGATTTGCTAAAAGCAACAAAATTGTGCTAAGAACTTGTTATAAAAATATTCTAATAACCAGCTGGGCACAGTGGGTTAATGTCTATAATCCTAGCACTGTGCAAGGATCACTTGAGCTCAGGAGTACAAATCTGAAAGCATCACACTACCTGAATTCAAATTTTACTACAAGGCTATAGTGACCAACACAACATAGTACTGATATAAAAATACAGACATGGATCAATGTAACAGAATAAAGAACACAGAAATAAAACAATCTACCTACAACCAACTGATCTTCCATAAAGCAGACAACAACATACACTGGGAAAAGGAAGTCCTATTCAATAAATAGTGCTGGGAAAACTGGACAGCCACATGCAGAAGAATGAAACAGGACCCCTCTTTCTCACCATATACAAAAATTAATTCCAGACGGATAAGACTTAAATGTAAGGCATGGGCCGGGTGCAGTGGCTCACATCTGTAATCTTAGCACCCTGGGAGGCCGAAGTGGGTGGATTCCTCAAGGTCAGGAGTTAGCCTGAGCAAGATCCCGTCAGCCTGAATCAGCCTGAGCAAGATCCCGTCTCTACTAAAAATAGAAAGAAACTAATTGACCAACTAAAAAATATATAGAAAAAATTAGCCGCGCATGGTGGCGCATGCCTGTAGTCCTAGCTACTTGGGAGGCTGAGGCAGTAGGATTGCTTGAGCCCAGGAGACTGAGGTTGCTGTAAGCTAGGCTGATGTCACGGCACTCACTCTAGCCTGGGCAACAAATTGAGACTCTATTTCAAAAAAAAAGTAAGGCATGAAACGATAAAAATTCTAGAAGAAGATGTAGGAAAAACTCTTCTAGACATCAGCCTTGGCAAAGAATTTATTACTAAGACCTCAAAGGCAAATATAGCAACAACAAAAATAAATTAATGGGACCTCATTAAATTAAAAAGCTTCTGCACAGCAAAGGAAATAACAGAGTGAAAAGATAATTACAGAATGGGAGAAAATATTTACAAACTATATATCTAACAAAAGACTGATATCCAGAACCTAAAATAACTCAAAAAAATCAACAAGAAAACAACAAACAACCCCATCAATAAATGGGCAAAAGACATGAACAGAAGTTTTTCAAAAGACAATAGGCAAATGGCAAAAAGAAAGAAAGAAAAGAAAGAAAAAAAGAAAAATGCTCAACATCACTAATCATCAAGAAAATGCAAATTAAAACTACAATGAGATACCACCTTACCCCTAGTAGAATGGCCATTATTAAAAAGTCAAAAAAGACTAGATACTGGCATGGATGCAGAGAGAAAGGAACACTTCTACGTTGTTGGTAGGACTGCAAATTGGTACAACCTCTATGGAAAACAATATGGAGATTCCTCAAAGAAATAAATGTAGACCTACCATTGGATCCAACAATCCCACTGCTGGGTATCTACCCAAAGGAAATGAAGTTATTTTATCACAAAGATACCTGCCCTCGAACGTTCATCACAGCACAATTCACAATTGCAAAGATAATGGAATCAATCTAAGTGCCCTTCAATTCACAAATGGATAAAGAAAATGTGGTGTATTCACACACACACACACACACACACACACACACACACACACACACACCATGAAGTACTACTCAGCCATAAAAGGAATAAAATGTCATTTGCAGCAACTCGGATGGAACTGCGGACCATTAATCTAAGTGAAAACTATCTCAGAAATGGAAAACCAAGCACTATATGTTCTCATTAATATAATAAGTTAATAATAATAAGCTAATAGACAGGTATACATGGGCACAAAGAGATATGAGGACATGAGAAACCAAGAAGGGGGAGAGTAGGAGGATGAGTGTGGGATAAAATCTTACCTATTGGATACAACGAACACTATTCTGGTAATAGGCATACCAAAGTCCTGACTTAAGCATTATACAAGATATCCTTGAGACAGAAACATTTGTACTCCTTAGTCAATATTTTGAAATTAGAAAAATATCTCTAGATTCTATAATTGTATTTTTAAGATAAAAAGATAAATTAATCTTATTTTTAGTATATTTCTTCAATGTTATGATTATATATAAGAATTGCCCATTGCCATTTTAATTTTTATTGGTAGTCATTTTAAAAACTGTTATTCATAGTTATAAGCAATCATTTTTAAAAAAGAATTCTGCATCAGTAGTAATATAGGAAAAAATAATTATCCAACTGATAAATTCAAATGGAAGCACCACAGAGATACCATTTCAACTTAACAAAGTAGCATAAGTCAAGAGCAAAACTGATTAATACCCAAGACAGAAAAGCTCTGGGTCCTCACATATTTTTTATTAAATGTTTTTGTTGTTATTGCACTATTATTTTAGCAATAAAAATAATTTTAAAAAATTCAGCATGACAATGTAGTCATACCTTATATATTTGGTCACCATCTTCTGGTTCTGGACTAGATGGCAATGACAGTTGAATATCGTGCAATGAACCACTTCCGTCGTGCTGTCGAAAGAAGAAAAGAAAAATGCAAGATTAATACAATAACTACAGACATTTAGTTCAACCTGAATTCACCCCAAGGCAAATGCTACCATGGCAAAGAACAAACGGGAGATAAAATTTTAGAAATCTCCTTTTTATCTCTATGCACTGGTAGAAGGAAAATGTGAAAGAGGAAAAAAGTACCAGAATAACCTGTGGAAATAAATAACAGACACTATATGAGTGGTTGAAGTAGAGAGTCACTGGACATATGAGAAATTTCCACAAGAATTTTTAGATTATCTCACCTAAGAGAAATGTAAAATAAAAGTCAACTGAATCTGATTTGGTTTAGATGTGTTTTGAGTATTAAGGAACCAGAAATGATAATATTAAATAACAAGGTCTGGCCACAAAAAATCATTTGATTAAAAATACTAGATACATGAGAATACTTATTGCATGACTCCATTTATGTGAAGCCTGAGAACAGGCAAAACTCATCTATGGTGCTAGAAATCAGATAGTGGTAGATGCAGGGAGGGAGGTTATTGACTGAGAAAGAACATTAGGAAACTGGAAATATTCTGTCTTGACTGTACAGTGGTTACATAAACATACATATGAAAGTTCAAGCTGTACATTTATGATTGGTATACCTTAAATACTTTACTGGATGTATGCCTTCAAAAATAGCTGAAATAAACGAAAGGTTTTAACCTTAAACATGATAAAGAAAATGATATAATATTAAATTCCACTCCTTGCTGAACTGGTTTAGCAATAAGAAGCTATATGCTGAATGATTCACATGACAACCTCAAGAAAGATGAACCAGTGCAGGAAACAACTGGATGATGGTGAGAGTCTGACCTCCTGACCAAGGCAGTCCACCTGAGGCTCAATACCTTGTTTGTTCAGATGGTACCTCACTGCCTCAGGACTCACACGGAAGCAGCAACCTTCAAGGAGCACTAACATAATCTTCCTCAGATACACCTTTTCTGAATCTTAGACCATAAATAATGTCCTGCATTGAAACACAAGTGCTATAAAAACAGAGATGAGCATATAGGTTATTTTCTTCTTTACTTACTATAATACATCCCACTGACTCAGAATCACTAGGGATAGGGCCCAGAAATGTGTATTTAGAAAAGTTCAACAGGTAATGTAGATTTTACAGTGAAGACTATGCATTTGCCAAATTTCTAGCAGACATAAATTACAGTTTTATTAGTGATATCATATGGACAATCAGACTTTGACCTGAGAGGGAAGGCAATATTCCAATGAACAATAATGGTCTCAGAACACCATGTTAAAAAATTTTAAGAAAGTTTTATAAGACATTTTAGTAAAAAGTTCATCTGTCATTAATGACTTAAAATATAAAAAAATGGCCAGTCCTACATACTAGTATATTTGAGAAAAGAGGAACCATACAATTTTATTTATTTCCAAATATCTAAATATCTTCCTGCCAACTGCGAACCCCAGGGGATGGGAGACAACAAAAGCACACACTGCTTTGCATTAGACATAAGTGCAGTTGCAGGAAAAATAAAACAACAGCTTTCCAAGTAGAAGAAAAAAAGAGGGTTCTAGCAAAACAAAATACCAGGGAGAGCACAAAATATCAGAGACTCAGGAAAATAACTCCATAAAACTGTGCGTAAATTCCTGGGTTCGCCCCTGAACGGCACTTGTTTGGATCTGATCCTAGATAGATAATAGATATTTACTTCAGACATAAACTAAGAAATAAACTAAGATCACTGTGCAGGTCCCATACAAGCCTCTGAGAGGTATATACTCAGAACAGATCTAGAGAGCATGACAAAGGCTTTGAAAAGAGAACTGATACTGAAACCAAAATCCAAAAGTGGCTGGTTGGAACTTGCAGCCCTAGCTCAACTAGACTAGTTGCCTGCTCACAAAAAATAAATACATAAATAAATAATCAACATTCTCCATAGAATTTAAAAAAGATCAAGAATCACATAACAGTGTTCAAATACCTAAAACACAATCCAAAATTACTCAACATTAAAAAAGAGAAAAAAAATCTCAACTCACACAAGAAAAGGCAATAAACAGATGTCTACCAATGCCAAAGTGACACACAAGTTAGACTTGGAAGAGATTTCAATAGAGCTATCATAAAAATTAACCAAAAGTAAGGGTGAACTCTTAAAGGGGAATGGAAAGAAATCTCGAAGGGAATATTGATTCTCTCTCAGCAGAGAATCAATATATAAAGTGGAAACAAATGGAAATTTTAGGACTGAAAAAAGTCAATAACCAAAATTTTAAAATGCACTAGTTGGACTACATACCAACATTTGAGATGACAGTAAACTTAAAGATAGATTAACAGAAATTACCCAGTTTGAACAATGAAGAAAAAAAGTACTACTCAGCCACAAAACACAATGGTGATCTAGCACTTCTTGTATTATCCCCAATAGAGCTGAAGCCCATTCTACTAAGTGAAGTATCACAAGAATGGAAAAAAAAGCACCACATGTACTCACCATCCAATTGGTATTAACTGATTAACACTTAGGGGCACATATAGTAGTAACATTCATCAGGTGTCAGGCAGGTGGGGGGGGAGAAGAAGGGTTGGGTATAGTCACACCTAATGGGTATGAGGCACACCATCTGGTGGATGGACACACTTGTAGCTCTGACTCAGGTGGGGCAAAGGCAATATGTGTGTAACCTAAACATTTGTACCCCCATAATATGCTGAAATAAAAAATATTTAAAAATTAGAAATAAAATAAAAAGATTGCCCCAAACCAAACAAAAAACTCACAGAACCTGTAGGAACACTAACAAAAAAATCTAATATTCATTTCACTGAAGTCACAGAAGAATGGGTGTAGGGCAGAAAAAATATTTGAAGAGACAATGGATGAATGCACCCCAATTTCCCAAATTTGGTAAAAGACACAGACTTGAGAAGCCCAATTTAAAAGAACTGTATAGGCTGGGCATGGTGAATCACGCCTGTAATTCTAGCACTCTGGGAGGCCCAGGCAGGAGGATCGGTTTGAGCTCAGGAGTTTCAGACCAGCCTGAGCAAGAGTAAGACCCTGTCTCTACTATAAATAGAAAGAAATTAATTGGCTAACTAAAATATATATATAAAAAAATTAGCTGGGCATGGTGGCACATGCCTGTATTCCCAGCTACTAGGGAGGCTGAGGCAGGAGGATCGCTTGAGCCCAGGTTTGAGGTTGCTGTGAGCTAAGCTGAAGCCACAGCACTCTAGCCCAGGCAACAGAAGTGAGACTCTGTCTCAAAATAAATAAACAAACTAACAAACAAACTGAACACACCAAAGTATGCTCTCTGAACATAAAGGAATTTAACTAGAAATCAATAAGACAAGGATAATCTCCAACCACTTAGAAAGCAAACAAACTTCAAAATCATCCATAGTTCAAAAGAGGAAGTCTCGCAGCAAACAAAATATTTTGAATTGAAGGGAAATGAAGACACCATATACCAAAATTTGTGGAATGCAACTAAGCAGAGTGTAGAGGGAAAATTATAGTATGAAGTGCTTGTATTTTTTAAAAGATGTCAAATCAATACTTGAAATAAAATAAATCTAGAACAAGCAAAAAGAAGATATTAATAATAAAGAACAGAAATTGATGTAACTGAACACAGATCAAAAAGCACAAAGAAATCAATGCAACTAAAAACAGGTTCTTTGAAAATTGTTAAACATCTTACAAAACTGCCAAAGAGCAAAAAAGTTAGAAGCACAAGTCAAAACACATATCAGGAATGAAAGGAAGAATATTGATTATAAATGTCTCAGGTGCTAGGAGTAAATAAGATAATAATAATATGAATGACTTTGTACACAAATTTGAGAGCTTATATGAAACGATAAAATTCCTCAAAAGCCACAAACTCTTGCAACTCACCCAAGATAAAATAGATAACTTGTGTGAAATAGAGGAATCCATGTCTATTAATGAAAATGAATTCATAGTTTAAACTCTTTCATAAAAAACAAACAAACAACAACAACAAAAAAAACAAAGGCCAGGTGTTTTACTGGTAAATTCTTTCAAAATTTAAGGGAATAATATCAATTCTATATAATCTCTTACAGACAACAGAAATCAATTTAGAAAATTAATCAAATCAATTAATGAGGCCAGCATTTTCCTGATTCTAAAACAAAGACAATATAAGAAGACTATAGATTAATATCCCTCATGAAGAAGGATGCAAAAGTGCCTTAACACAATATCTCAGAATCATTATTCAACAATATATAAATAGGAAAATCATTATTCAACAATATATAAATGCATCATGAACAAGTGTGGTTGAGCCCAGGAATGCAAAGCTGGCTTAATAGTCAAAAAGCAATATAATTCACCACATCAAGAAATAAAATATCTATACAACCATCTCAATAGTTGCAGATAAATTTCCTGACAAAATTCAACATCCATGCACTATAAAAATTCAGAAAACGTGGAATACAGTGGAACTTGCTCAACCTGATAAAGTCCATCTAAAAAACTTACTACTAATATATTTAATGGTAAAAGACTGAATGTTTTAACCCTAAATCCAGGAACAAGGCATTCTGTTCAATATTGCACTAGACTTTCTATCCAGTGAAATAAGGCAAGAAAAAGAAATAGAAGACACACAAATAGGAAAGGAAGAAATAAAATTATCTCCATTCAGAAGATATAATTTTTGGTATAAAAAATTCTAACTATCTACTATACAACTACTAAAACTAATATATGAATTTAGGAAAGTCACATGATACAAAGTCATTATACAAAAATCAATTATTTTTATGGTGGACAACTGAAAATTGAATTTAAAACATAACATTTACAATAAAACAAAATTCAAAAGCAGGGTGGGCGGAAGCAAAATCAAGGAAACAAACAAGACCCCAAATCATAAAGGATTAATACGTAGGTACAAATCTAACAAAATGTGGGCAAACTCTACATTAAAGACAA